AGATCAGGATATTCTTTTGTAAGTCCAAACCAGCTTTCTTTTTGATCTGATCCTTCCAACCCAGCTTTTAGTTCCTACAACAATTCCAGTGCTCTGGTCCTGTCTCAATATCCTCTTCACTCGTTTCTTTTAAATGGCTAAAAGAATTATAGTCCATATGTTTCCAGGCTGCCCTAGTTCTAGAGGACAGAAACTGTATCTTAGTCATTTTTCTATTTTTCAGTATTGCATGGCATATATTTAATTCGTCATCTTTCCACCTGGGAAAGATCTGCCTCCTTTTAGGAGCCACACTTTCCTCTAGAGTTACTCCTGCTCTCCCTAAACCCCATCTCTAAATGATCCCATTATACAGGACCTCAGATAGAAGTCATGGTTGATAAGGAATCAGATAAACTCTCTGTGTGCAGATATTAGCTTAGGACAACTGAAAGCATTTCCTCTCTCCAGCGAGTATGTAAAGGGACTCATTTAATAGCAAATAAAACCTTTAAGAATGAAAGCAGTGTGTTGCTGACAAAGTACCAGAGGCCTGGGGAAGAAGACATAAAAAAAGGGAGGGTTTTTTTTTCTTTTNTTTTTTTTTTTTTTTTTTTTGAGGAGGGGGTATACTGATTTCACTTAATAAGGAGCACATTCCCTCTGCCTTCATGCTGAATAGGTTTTTGAGTTAGGTGGAGTGGATGCCCAGCTAGAAGTATTTGAATGCGTCCTCTGAGTTTTGGTCTCCCCTGCAACACCACCCATCTTGGATATTTCATTCCTAATAAGAGACCCCCCTCACTAGAGGCAGGGAGCTGAGGGTAAACTTGGCCAGTATCTCTGGCATTTTCCAAGTCAAAAAAGGTAAGGAATGATATAAATCAATAAACATTTAGATTTCATATTCTTGCAATTCCCAATCCCAATACTGATGCTGAGCTGCATAAAGTAGCAGGAAAGGCTATGAAGTCAAAATACTGGGGGTCTAAGCAACTTTCGTGATCATAAATTAGAGTCACTGGGAAATCTCTCAACATCTCTGACTCTCCACCCCAAACTAGCAAGTGGCATAATGAACAGAGGTCCTATTTAGCACACAAGATTGTAATGAGGACCAAAGGAGACAGCAAATGCAAAAGTCTTTTGAAAAACATTAAATGATACACAAAGTGATGAATTTTAGTTTTTATCTCTTGCAAAATGTATGATGAAGTAAGTGACATTAAAAAACACTTGAAATATTGTTTGGTTCCCTTTTGTGTCAGATACTGATAGTATTTATTGGTATTCATTTCCACATTGTTTCTTTAATAACAGAATCCCCACACTTATCAAGGCACGTGACAATCAATAATAAAGACATTCCCTAGCCTTATTTGCAGCTAGATGTGGCAAATGTCTCGGTTCTAACCCATGAGGTGTGACTGGAAGCAATATGTGCAACTTCCCTCTACTTCCTCTCTACTATCTTAAATGTAAACATGATGGCAGGAGCTGCAGCAGCCATCTTGGTCCATGAGGGGGATGCAGCACAGTAGGATGACAGAGCAACAGGAGGGGGCCTAGACTTCTGGTAATGTCACACACCAGAGCTGTCAAACCAGTTTGCCTTTAAGTAAGAGAGAAATAGCTTCCATGTTAAGTCACTATTTTGAATTTCTGTGTTAAAACAGCTGAATGGGAATTCTATACAATCCATTTATATTTATTTTTTAATGATCTATTCTTAACTCCTCGCTAGGTCTATCTTGGGGACTTTCTTGCCAACATTAGTAATATCCCTGCTCAGATTTTTGAAAAAACTACCTTAAAAGCATAACAGAGTCCTCATACTTCAAATTTTTGATCAAACTAATTATAACAAAGTTACCTTTTTAGATGAGAAGATGTCTTTATCATTTTTAATAAAATTACATGATCTCCCTCTCTGTTATCTAACACTGATTGTTAATGTTACCAATTATTATGAGCGTTCTAATAATTCTTAGGGAAGTTTCATCCAGTTTCCAAGAGTAGGCTGCCTAAAAGCTAGAAGGAGACAGAATAGATAAGTGTGTATCTTAGTCCTTAATAAAACACACACACGTGCACATACACACAAAGATGTCTCATCTCAATCTCCAGTCTGGGTAGTGGAGCTGTCATTGCCAAGAGAAGGGAAAGAACTGCAGGAGTCAATAGGATGTAGAACTCTTGGGGGCTGTTTTTTTCTTTTTTGGCTTTTCTTGGGCTTTTGACACTGATGTATCTGGAGTTGATTTGGTTTGGGACTTAACACTCCTGACTTCCATGGATCCTTGGGCCCAGACGCCTTCTGCTGGCATCACTTCCCTGAACATCATTCAGCATGGAAGTGGGCAGCCAATTTTTGGAGAATAAACTGCATTCCTACCTCTCCATTTCTATCAACATAGGACCCCATGGGTCTGACAAGCTTGCTGCTTTAGAAGGAAATTATATGAGGGAGGAAGCCCATGTCGGTCTTTTTAATTTGCTCAGCACTGGCCTGGGGCCAACATAAAGAGCTGCCTCCCTCTGAACATCCCGATACCTGGTCTCAAGTGGAGCCCCATACATCATGCCTTCAGTAGAAGGCAGCAGAAGCCTTTGATACCAATCCCGAGGTGCACAAGGAACAGTGTGAAGTGAGCAGGGGCTGCCTCCAAGTCTCAGCTATGCATGAATTCCTTGCCAAAATTTTAAAGTGAGTTTAAAAGAAACAATCCGAATGCTTTATAACTCGTTTTGATTTTCCACATGACAAAACACTGGATTGTCATTGTGTGTGTGTGCGTGCGTGTGCACACACGCACGTGTGTTTGTGTATGTCACAAGCATAGGCAGAAGGATAATTTGCAGTCCTGCTGTTCTACGCAGAACATTAGATCCTCACAATGAAATAAGAAGCCAGAGACAGCCGCTCATTAATCCCAGCTGCAACCCTCCTTCACTTCTTGCCTTAGGAACAAATCATTGAAAATGGAGAAATATTTTGTGAGCCTAATCTCTACCAAGTAACAAGCAATATTTACTTGGCCTCTTTTAATTCACCCTTGCATAAAACACAGCTTTCTAAAAGAATCGTCAATCTCTCAGCTCATTGATGGCTCAATGATGTGGAGAGGGCTGGACTGACCCAAGGCAGCATGGCTCTGGGTCACTGTTAGCTTGGCGCTGTCACAGCTGGGCTGCCCACATGGGTTAGAGACAGAGGCTTCTGGGAAATTGCAGCTGGCTTCTTGCATCCTTGGCAGGAAGCTTTAGGCAGGATGAGCCCTTATTCCATATGGATATGGTGATGGAGTAAAGAGAACTTGGCCTTTGCAGTCAACTAGACCTAGCTTACAACCCGTGGAGGAGCGACTTATTTTCTGTGGGTTTGACTTTTCTCATCTATGAAATGGAGTCTAACAATATTCATTCATTGTGCAGAATATATTCAAGGTATGAAAAGGGCCTCCCCCAGTTCCTGGAACAAGGGAACCACCCAATAACGCCTTCCCTTGCACCCCAGATGAAGCCAAGCACAGTGAGAGAAGCATCTCCAGGTGTCTGTCTGGTGGAGCCGCTGGACTCCCCTCTGTGCAGGTAAGCACTCCATGAATGCTTGTGGGCTGATTGACTCACAACCCCAGAGAGAGTATTCTGGAGGCTGAGAAGTGGCTTAGATAAGGCTGGCTTAAACATCAAACATGTTGGATATCAATGAAATAGGCTTTTCAATCTGATTTAGGGGTTTCACACGTTTTTGCCTTCAGCTCCTTGAAGGGATTGATCAGATCAATCCGTTGTGAAACTTCCCACTCATTCTGATCCTCCTAATAAATGCTAGACAAAGGCTTTCTCTTCTTTCTTCCATACATATCCCCTTATTATTCAACAAAATTCTTGTTATTGCAGTTGGGATTGTGAAAAGGTGAAAATAAGAACTTGGCAATGCAGCACACTTCTTTCCAGTTTTAGACAGTCTGGCCTGATTTACTGGCTGTGGCCACAGTCCACAACAGGTAAAGACGGTGTGGGAAGAAAGCAGTGATCAGGCTGGAGATAGTCAAGATGCTGGGAGGGAGAGGCTGTCTAAATGCCTGGGATAACCAGCCCAGGAATGGTATTCCATGTCTCCTGGCCTAATTCAGAGTTCTTCTTCATTTAGTGACCTCAGATATATTTTTGAGCTAAGCTCCTATTCTTTGGGCCAAGGTTTTAAAAAACATCTTTCTCTCTGTGGTGGCAAAATTTCAAGACTGGTAGTACCCCATTAAAGAAGATATCTTCTCCATGAAGGTTAAACTTTGCAATATTTCATTTAAAATCTAAGGTTATGTAGCCAGTTTAGAAATGCTAGGCATATATATTGATCTTCCTGATACTTTTTTCTCTCTCAATTTATTGTTCATTCCTCACATTGAAAGTAACATTGGTAAAGTGAGACCCCTTTAGGCATTAGCAAATAAGCAAGGTTTCTCTTAAATGCTCCTACCAATGTTCATTTCTCAGGGGCCACAACCTCACCTGTCCTGGATCCACTCCCCGTTCCCTAAAAGATGGAAGGAAAAGCATTACTTAAGGTCCGGATTTTGCAGGATGTGGGCCTCTAGCTATAGTCATTAATAGGATAATTTGGTTTCAAAACAACTGCAACAACAAAACACATTACTTGTGATTTAAGTCACATTCAAATAGAGTTCAAAGATGCTAGCCAACAGCCTAGTGGGGGTTGGCATAAGACCTCATCTAAGAGCTGAAATGTTTTTCTTTTTCTCTCTCTTTATGCAGACTGGTATTCTCATAATGGGAGACAGTATGACATAGACCAGTTTCAGCAGAACATCCAAGCCATAATTTGGCTTATCATGTGTGCCTCTGTGGGTTCCTGGTGCCCAAACTATTCTATGCTCCTTCAAAGGAGATCAAAGGAACTGTCGTCTCCTTTTGGTGCTGCTCTCCTTGGCCTTCAAAAAAAATAAAAAAAAAAACAAAAAAAAAAAAAAAAAAAAAAAAAAAAAAAAAAAAAAAAAAAAAAAAAAAAAAAAAAAGAACAAGATAGATAATCTCCAGCTGGATAAAAATGAAGACAAGGAAGCAGATGTCCACATCAAATACACACAGCCAGATGTCCTCAGAACGGCCCAGCTTCTCCACGGTAACTCAACAGAAGGTCAGTGTGCCTGCTCATCCTCCCCCTCCTGAGAGAGGAGAGGGCAGGGGGTCACCATCTCACCACCTGGCTGTTGTAGTCCTCGGTGACAGTCCCCTCTGTGGCCCCATCCTCTTTGGGCCACTGGTGGACCCTGTGCTCCCGCTGCAGCCTCCGCTCCTCCCGCCGCTTCTGGCGGTCCCTCTGGTGCTCTAGCTGCTTGGTGTGGTGGTAGCGCTGCTGGAAGAGATCTTTCGCATACTCGTAAAGCTTCATGTCCAGGAAGTTTAGTTCCTCAATGCGTTGGCGGGCACCCTCATTGATCTCCACGTTAGAAGCCCGCGTGATGTTGAACTGCGTGAAGGGGGAGATGAACTTGAGGTTGAATGTTCTCTCAAAGAGAAACTGTGTCTTCCTCTGGAACTCTGTAAGCCCAAAGAAGGCCATGTTCTTCAGGTTGTTCTTTGCACTCTGCAACAGGATGGTGTTTCTTTCACTTTCGTTCATGAAAGTCAAGTTGTAGCAGCCCACCAAGCTGAGGTCAGCCAGCATGCGCACCTGGCGATTGTTAGCCAGATTGTAGCTGCAATCCATAAACTCCCGCAAGCTGACCCCAGACCAGTCATCCCCAGGGTAGCAGGTAGGCAGCTCATCAGGGGTGGGGCTTCTTCCATCACACATGTGAAGAGAGGTTTTCCACGTGGCCCCTCTCTGGACGTGTTTCCACTCACTCAGGTAACGCGACACTGGGTCCCGTAACATTGTGATGTAATAGAAATTCCTAGAAGAAATTAGAGGAAGAGTGTCAGTAGTTGACAACTCTAACAGGAGGGATCTTAACTTCTATAATTTTACATCAGCACTGAGTCAAGGGACTCTTTTGCCAAATGTCCATGTGAGAGTATTTGCCTGCTTTTGTGCCTACTGATGTATGAATATGTTTCCATAAGATATATGCACCAGTGTTCAATAGTTTGTTGAGCTTTTCCTCCTTGCTCCAGTGTGGGGAGGGATGGGGTGGAAAGAATAGATAGTTCATTTCTTCATTCATTCAGCAATTATTCACTGATAGATTACTACTGGCAATAACGATACCTTACACTTAGAGAAAACACCATGATTTTTAAAAGTTATTACCCATCTGTTTCATTTGATCCTTATAGCAAACCTTTGTGGTAGATGGGGTTCTACATGATAGGGTTACATGAAGGAGGTGAAGTGATTTACCCAAGGTCATGGTACTAGAAAGAAGAAGGCCGAACCTGTATTCTCCTTAACCTTTCTCTTTTTTATTTTTCTGAGAGGGAGTCTTGCTCTGTCATCCAGGCTGGAGTGCAATGGCACAATCATGGCTCATGGCAACCCCTGCCTCACCACACCCAGCTAATTTTTGTATATTTAATAGAGATGGGGTTTCATGATGTTGGCTAGGCTGGTCTCGAACTCCTGACCTCAAGTGATCTACCCGCCTCAGACTCCCAAAGTGCTGGGATCACAGGTGTGAGTCAGTGTACCTGCCGGCCTCCTTAATCTCTTTATATTGCTTTTGGGATTATGAGGTAGGTGCGTTGAGGAAGGATGGGTTGGGTGTGAAGACTAATATTTATCGGACTCGTACAATGTGTTAGGAACTGTGCTACATGCTTTATGGATGCTTGCACAGATGATCCTCAAGACAACTTTGTAAAATGGGTTTTATCATTACTTTTTAAAATAAAAGCTGAAGCCACAGAGGTTCAGAAAGGTGAAAAATACAGCCACAAACCCTGGAGCATGTTAATACCTGACCTGCAATCTAAGTTAGGCCTATTTGATTTCAAAGCTCCCATGCTTTCCTGTGCATCACATTAGTATTTAAATTGTAATTTCTATGTATTGAGCACCTATTAATTTTAGGTTCTGTGGTTATAACAATCACAGATCTCAACAAATGCCATCTAATGGATTACTGAAACGAAACCTATTATTAAATGGTTCTCTTTAGAATAATCACATAGAGATTAGGATACCTGTGGTTTAAAAGGACAAGGGAAGTGCAAAGAGGCAGGAAGAGAGATGGAGAAGTTGAGAAATGAAAGAGAAACAGTAGGCATTACAGGAAAGTAAATATTGGTTCAAAATAAGGAAAATCCTTTCCATGAATTGAGAAGCCTACCAATGGAATGGTATGTAAAATAAGCTGCCCAAAGTTATCTCGGTAGTAAGTTATAGAACTTGGATTAATCTGGTCTGATTTACTTAAAAAATAGTCACTACATTATATTAAAGGAAAACCTCCTATTTTGTAGGAAAAATTCAACCTAGTATGTGTGTAACTTGGCCAAGTAAACTGAATTTAAAAAAAAATGCATACCAACTAAAAGTAACTTTTAAAAAACAAAAATGTAAGGGTACAATGTTATTCTGCTTTTAAAGAGGAACTGATGAGCTACAATATTGGAAACTATACGTTTTCTATATTCTATTATCTTGACTGTCTAGCCTTACCCTTAGGTAAGCCAGGCAGTTTCGAAATGTGCTAAAGAAACTCCAAAATCTTTAAGTAACATTCACTTTCCTTTAAATCAGGAGGTGAAATTTATTGAAACTGCCAAGAACAGAACAGTCTGAGCTCTTGATTTTGCCAATCACCATTTTCCATGACTCTGTTGTCTTTCGCTGTGACAGAATGACAATTTCATCAGTGTCAGAAAATTTCCCAAAAGGTCAGCAGGGAAAGCAGAAAATGAGTGACACAGCTTCTGGGCTTCAAGAGGAAATACTGATGATAAAGTTTTGCCCAGAGAGGATATTACTGTAGTTGAATATCATATGGCATGTCATTATTAATCCTGCTTTAGTCCTATGTTGGGACTTGTTCATGTTTCAGGCTTTTGTCTCAGTTGAGAAAATTGGCCACGGACCTTCCAGTACCTTCATTCCACTGCAGATCTTCATTCCACATAACCTCAAAGCTGACAGAAACTGGTTTAGGCTTCAAATGGTTTTGGGTCCAAATTTAACTTTATTCAGTTTAACATTGCGTCAAACATTGACTAAATTGTAGGACGACACTTACATGAATAAAATAAGTCCTAAATGTTTTGAAGTTCTACCAGCCATGGGGGTCAATTTGAAACTAACTCTTTTCTGACATCAAAACATAGAGACGTCTTAGTGGAACATATTCATTGATGAAGTAGAATGTCATCCTATCTTACGGTTCTGAATCTGAGTGGTTAAAAGCATCTGGAAATTGCTTTAGACAGACATGCTCTCATGCACATTTTGTTTGTTTCCATCCTGCAAAGCAGACTAAATAGAAAGTTAGAAAGTAATAATAAGCCAATAGGGTTGAAGAACACTCAAATATTGAAGAAAAAGAACAACAACAACTGAAAGTGAGATTAATTAAATCATATTTCTCATATCAATTTTTTCTCTCTTTTCACTTGCTCCTCTACTTTCAGACAGAAAACTACTCAAGTCATTGTTAAAATGATGTCTGTCTCCAGGCCACATGTCCAACCTTCATCGCTGACAAGCGCTGCTTTGGTTTCATGAATCTCCTCCCCACTCACTTTTCCCTGCTCCCATAGCTCCCAGTTCAGTCTCTAATGAAAGTACTTAAAGGATCCGGTAATACTGAAATCTCCAACTTTATTTTTTAGGTCTTACTTGTTCAACAGCGCAATGGAGTTGAGAAATCATTTTTTAAGTGGGTAAAATGAAGACTAGAGAGGAAGAATGGGCAGCACCTGAGAGCTGTGTGGCCACAATACAGAAAACCTTCTGTTCTGTTTAATTCAACCTCCTACTCATAGACAATATCACTTGTTTGTATATTTTCCCTTACGGTTAACCTAAGCTCTTCCCACATAGTGACACAATAAAAAGCAAACTCCTATGCCCCCCACCTTCAATTCATCTGTTCATTCATCAATTTTCCAAACTTTAATTAAGCCCCATCTATTTGCCAAACACTTGGGACTAGGCACTGGGGACTCAAAGACTAATATGTCATTGTCCCCAAGGAGATTTTGGGCACCCAGTGATTTTGGTAAAGTGAAAGAAATGCTAACTACCAACTTAAGCGAATGTTACACCAATATCCCTGGACCAGAGCAGTCCCTCAGACAGATAGCTTTGTTTGCCTCGGTGACAGCGTCTTGTCAGCATATCTTCCATTTGTCAACTACTCACTGAGAGTTTGTGCGAATGCATTTAAGAATGTCTGTAAAGCAACTGGAGCCCTTTAGAACTGCTGTTTGGTGGCCATGAGGGTAATGAGGGCCAATACTGAGAAAGATTAGGGAATGAGGTTAAGTCAATAATCCTTTTAACTGGTAATTATCATATGGGCCATCAGGGCTTACTAAAGTTCCACCAAATGGAACACACAGATTTCCATAACGGTTTCAAATGGATTGTAGTATCTTGTTCTGCTGTAAGGTGATGAAGTTAAAAAAAAATCCTAAATACAACACGAAGGTATTACTGCCTTCTCTTACTTTGAAAGTCTTTCCCTTTCTTTGCTCTTTGGTATCCTGCTCATCTTCCCTGGTACAGCTCAAGGCTCACATCCATCTTCCTTGACTTTCCAGAATATCGAGCTTACTGTATCACCTACTGCACGTTTAACTTAAATGTAGCTGTCTTGGTCACATCTACCCTCTAAGTTCCTTTTTGATAACCCTACCTTAGGCCTCAGATCCCTAGCAAAAGTCCCAGCACCTACTGCAAAGCTCTGCTCACAGCAGATGTTCAATAAATGATTGCTATGTAAAAGAAAATTATTACATGAAATAAGTATATTTTAATAACCAAGTCTAATATTGCCTTTGATAAATATGCCTTTATTTCCTCTGCTAAAACTAAAGTGATACATTTTTAAATGCCTAAAATGTGTGCAAAGATTGTCATTTGATTGTGATCATTAGTGATATGGAGAGAAACAGTCAACACAGACTCAGAGCAAAAAGGAGAATATTTTAAACAAGTAATTAGTAACAATGAGGTTTATTTATTTATTTTTAAAATTAAACTTACTGGGTTTCTTCCCTACTATTTCAAGAACCTATGTTTCACTGAGCAGTTTATTGTATAATTTGTTCTCTTCCTTAATTAGCAAGTCATTTAATTAACACATGCTTATTGAGGGTTTGGTATGTGTAAGGAACTGCTTCTGGAAATGTTGAGAACATAAAAAAAAGAAGAAGAAAATGCTCTCAAGTATTACTGCACAGGTGTGGTAGAGCAGAAAAACACATTCATTAGCAAGCTACAGAGGTCAGGAGTAGACAAAGAATACTTAAGAGAGCTGCTCTTCAAGAATGTACCTAGAGCAGAGTACCCTGACTTGACCAGGAAGCTCATGTTTTGCTTTTCACTAAACGTTCATTTAACAAATGAATGAAATGCAAGGATGGTATAGACTGGAGCAGAATGTTGAGACCCAATTGCCATAGGCTCTGAATGTGATTGTGAATTGCTAAAATTGAAAGTGTTAATTTAGAAAGACTCATTCAGAAATTGTGTGAAGAGCTCTGTGTAAAGTAGGTAGAGACCACAGGAGACATTCAGCAGCCATGGTAAGAGACTGGCAGGGATAACCCCAGAATGTGGGTGTTGAAGAGAAAAAATCTGAGATAGATTCAGGAAGCGCCATGCACCCACCTGCCACTGCTCTCCCCCGCTTTCTGTGGTCAGCTTTCTCTAGGCTACTTTTTCCTCTTCTCTGTTTCTTTCTTTCCTTTTAGCAAATCCTTCCTTTTCAATACTGCAGTAGATAAGAGGCAGAGC